CTCGAGAACCCGTTGAATTACGCCCGGAACTATTTGGGCGATATACTTGACCCGTATGTGGATCGAGTCATTTACCTCGATTCCGACGTCGTCATAGTCGACGACATCCAGAAGCTATGGAACATCACGTTACAAAACAATCGGGTCATCGGAGCACCTGAATACTGCCATGCCAACTTCACCAAGTACTTCACAGACAGCTTCTGGTCCGACCCGATGATGTCCAGGGTTTTCGGGTCGAGAAAACCGTGTTACTTCAACACCGGCGTGATGGTAATGGACATGGGTAAATGGAGAAAAGGCAATTACCGGAAAAGGATCGAAAACTGGATGGAACTTCAAAGAAAAAAAAGAATCTACGAATTGGGTTCATTGCCGCCTTTCTTACTGGTTTTCGGCGGCAACATTGAGCCGATCCACCACCGCTGGAACCAACATGGTCTCGGCGGCGATAATGTGAAAGGAAGCTGCCGGTCACTGCATTCGGGTCCGGTGAGCTTGTTACATTGGAGTGGAAAAGGTAAACCATGGGTGAGACTTGATGAGAAGAGAGCATGTCCGTTGGATCATCTGTGGGAGCCGTACGATCTTTACAAGCGTAATCATCACCGTCAGCAAACAGCCGTTGGATCTTTCAATTTTGTTGGGTATTCCAATTATTTCATTTAATTTCATTAGAATTAAATAAAAATTGGAAAGCAAAAAAAAAAAAAAAACCTTTTTGTGTAATTTAATTTTAGGGGGTTATTGTGATTCAGATATTCTTTTGACAGCTGTGTACAGAAATTGTAGGAGTTTTTTATGTGATTGGTTGGATTGTTACAAGGGTATTTTGGTCATGCAATTTACAAAAAGAATATTGAGATTTATTTGTTTAACTTTTTCTCATTTTTAATATTTTATAATGTTAAAAAATATTACTTTTAACACCGACAAAATAAAAGCTCCAACGCTCACAATTTAATATGTTAAAAAACGTCGTCCATTACAATTTAATTTGGTTTGGATAATGCGGTTAATTGGGGTTAGGTTTGGAAATCATATTTAATTCTCAAAAAGGCCCCCGAAACCAATAAACATATCAAATGGTTTATATATTAAGATGGAAAAAAAATACTTAATATTTGTTTTATACAAATATAAGATGTCGTTTACCAAACGTTTACTAATTCATTTTATTTTACCGGATGAATATGAAAAGAACTAAAAATTTTACCCGGTAAGAGCGAAGACAAGAATCGAGAGTGTTATCCGGTAAGTGAGAACGAATACTCTTATCATGGTTAGCGCTTACCGGGATAAATTGTTACACACGATGCGTTTTAGTGAATAAAATCTTATCCAGTAAGTAAGCGATAATGTTGAATTTTACCGGTAAGTGCTTACTGGGTAAATTTTTAGGTAAACGATCCCTAAGTCAAACTTTTGTATAAACCTTTTGTGTTAGTCAGATAAAAAATATCAAATAACACATTAGAAAAAGATATTTAAATTTTTTTCATACTTATTTCAATATAAATATATTATTAGTTTTTTAACAATTACTATATGATGTTAATAAAATTGATTATATTTACACAAGTCTTTCTACTGTGTTCAGAAATATCTATACTATATTATAAAGCATTTGACAAAAACTCTTAAAAACTATTTTTTATGCACGAAGTACTATTTATTAATTCATATTTCTTAAAATTCAAGATTACAAGTAAGTTGTGCGTAAGTATAACTTATTAAAGCTCTATCTTTAAATTCATGTAATTAACTGCAGATAAACATAATCAAAAACTGGATAAATATTTCATTTTAAATATAAAAAATCTTAAATATAATTAAAATAATTATTGAGTTCTAACAGAATACTTAATGATTATCTTTATAAAAAAATTATATTATTAAACCTAAATTAAATTACTTCGTTATGTTAAATTAATTTATAATAAAAAATTTAAATTGAATAAATTACAAAAAACTAAAAATTTTAAATAATTAGTTTGATACTAATATTAATATATTTTTTTCTTTAAATTTTTATGATATTTTTAAATTTATATCTTATTTAAAAATAAAAATATTATCGCTTTCTCAAAACCACATAAAACTGTATTATATCGACATAGATCAAGAATGAAATGAAACATTGAAATCGAGATGTGTCTCGATGTATCGCACGAGTACCCTTCTAGTTAATTATGATTCAAGAACTTTTAAAATATACATAAATGTTATATATATATTAACCTGGATATCCAATCTGCACTGCGAGTCAACTAATCGCAAGACAACTACCCGCTTCGTACGCATTTGAACCTCCGCAGTCACAAGATGATCTTTATTTCTTCTTGGATTCGAACATAAGACCTACAAACACTTTTGACATTTGAAGTTCAAACTCAAACCAATCGAACACCACATTTGTAGTTCAGATGTTATATATTTTTCTTAACCGAAAGTATTTAATACATTACTTTAAGTAGTTGTAGCTTTAAATATCATATTATACTTTCTTTATCAATTAACTATTTTACATTTATTTAAAACATAAATAACAACGAAATATATAAAAATAAATATCTTTTACTATTTATTTTTAGTTTTGTTAGAAAACAACATTGGGAATTATTTTAAATCAATCATTATCACATAATTAGTATTTATATATATATATATATATTAACATGTATAATTATTAATTTATAACAAGATAAATTATTAGAAAACTCTCAAATTAATTAGATTGAAAGTTAGAAACCAATAATTGAAAGCTTAACGACAATTTAAAGGGCAAATGCATATGTCACAATTTAACCCCACATTCGTTGGCTTTGGAGGTGGCTATCATTATCAGTCATTTTTAACAAAAATAAATAAAAGTTGGTTTGTATATTGGTTTGTTTATTACGCAATACGGGTTCTTTGTCTGGTTATATCAAGGAAAAAGATGGGTTTTCAAATAATTAGTTTCATTCTTAACCGATCAGTTGTCGAAAATATATGATGGATTTGGGTTCGGCTGTTTTAACTACTCCATCACCAAGATCAATTCATTGTGTTTTTTTAGTACACGGTTTGTCTTTGTGAATACAAGTTCGGATGTTTGAACGACTCCATATCTGTACAAATCGACCTTCAAATGGGCTTTGATCGATCACTGGAACGAAAATCATGATCTACCCTATCCTTAACCTCTCATTTCCGCTTTAGTCCTTGGTCCAGATTTGGTTCTCAGTTGTTTTGTGCATATCAATTGGAGATGTACAGTGACTCACCTTTTGAAGTTTTGGTACCGTGACCTATAAATTTAAAAAAAAAAACTAACCTTGAAAGGTTCTTTATAAATATATCAAACCAAAGAAAAGAAACATTGTGTCTAAAATATGATCCGTCTAAATTTCTTACCACATCAATATATAGTAATTGTGTACTTGTGCAGCACAACAAGATGTAAAATGCTTATTGTAAACCGAAAATGAAAAAATTAATATAATTTTTTATTAAAAAAAATAATCCAGATTTTATAGAATATTTTGTCGTAATAGTAGAGTCCAACATGTAGTCGGTTTTATAAAATTCAAACAAGGAATTTTGTAGCATGTTTTTTTGATATAGTACCTTTATTTATCTTAACCTTAGGTTAATTTACTTCGCCGAAAGGAAGAAAAATGTGTGTATATATAATTAGTGTATATAAAAAAAAGAACAAAATAAAAATTATATAACATATTTCTGCGGATAATAATCCTTAAAGTTAAATGTTTAACAAAAACAATTAGTATTTTATTAAATGTATTTTTACTATTTTAATAATAAATTCAATATTTGAGTTAAATGTAAGTTTATTGAAAATTTTGATTTTTACATTTTATATTTAAAAATAAATAACATAAATAGTGGAATTTTTATTTAAAGCAATCGTCTTGTGATGCTAAACCTTTTTTATTTTGGAAAAATTAGACGCCTTTTTAATGTACATAAATTTCAGCAATTGTTGCCATTAAATTTTGCAATCTTCAACTAGAAGCAATTGACCACTTTATCAATCCAATTCCAATCTAACTAATTTTATATTTTAAAATTTTATATATGATTGAACCTGATTTGTTTGATTGATTAAAACTTGTTAACGATGAATTTGATTTGTAAACGTAATTTAATCTTGTCGTCTAATTAACAATCACTTTTAGTCTTTTTAACGAGATATAATTGGGGTCGTCTTCATCATGTGGTTAAAAATCTTGTTGGAGATAATTAAATGGTCTTGAACTTGAATCCCGTGTTTATTGTTTGACCAATTGATTATTGATTTTAGGGAAAATGACAAAACTAACCATTTTATACAACCCACTTACATGAAATAACCAAGTTTTAGAGGGTTTACGAAAATACCCACACGGATTGCCCCCGGGGGGCGATCCGTACTGTTTTGGGGCGAGCCAGCCTTTTTTCTAAGAATTTTTTTGTGGGTCCCACTTTCAGCCTAAAAAGAAGATATTACTATGCATCTCGTAGACCGGGCCAAGAATCACCCCCTAGGGCGAGCCACTTCATCAGATCGCCCCCAGGGGCGATCCAGCCTTTAAATTTTTTATTTATTTTTTTGCGGTATTTTTAATAAAACTGATACACCATTTAAATTATATTTTTTAACTTTTTTAGAACCACATTTTATGGTTAAAGGTTTAAAAATAAACCATGATTATTATGGAGACGCAAAAAATATTTTTATCTGATTTGGGTTTCTTAAATCAAATATAATATCTGATTTACAAAAGTTGACATCTATTTCGTCATTTTGTGTTTTTGATTTGACAAATAAGGGGTGTTTTTAATAAAAATGGAACAATACATAAACTGTGTTTTTTTACATATTTAATTTAAAATTTCATAGTTTTTCGTTATAAAATAAGACAATGATAATTGTGGTTACGAAAAAAAATTTAGCTGATTTTTGGAGAAAAAATCAGACATTATATCTGATTTTGCGTTTTTTCAGGTTATGACACTCTATGACGTCGATTTGAAGCCGATTATCGTTACACGTTTGACGAACCCAGAATACGTTATTGGCGATAACATACGTATTGCACATTTGGGGGAGGTTATCGGAAGGTAATCTACAACACCATTTATATCTTGGAATAAACCGCCACTTCGAAGATACACACAAACATCATCACTTTGACGTGATTTCATGTTTTGTGATGGTTGATTGTGTTTAATGAGTTAAAGATTGTGATGGTTTATTGTGTTGAAGGGTTAAGAGTTGTGAGAGTATAATATATGAAAAGAGAAATGAAAGGGAAGATGTGAAAAATTATGAAGTAGGAGGTTAGTATTTATAGTGAAATTGATATTACAAAAAAAAGAAAAAAAATTACTTAGGGCCGGATCGCCCCTGGGGGACGATGGGATGACGTGGCTCGCCCCTGGGAGTGGATCTCCCTTGGGGGGCGATTTGGGGGGTTAGTTTTGCAAAGTCTCTAAAACTTGGTTATTTTGTTATAGTGAGTTGTATAAAATGGTTAGTTTTGTCATTTTCCCTTGATTTTATTGGATAGATGGATAACAAAAGCTTCGAATATGATATCTTTTTTGTGGATTTTAAGTGACTTGAAATACTACAAATATAGAAAGATTTTGGGGATTTGATCTTCTTTGAATAATTCACGTTTATTTTGTAGGGAACATGATGCGTTAACTTTTCTACTACTTGCAGTTTATCTTCCATTTGTAGATTGATGTAAAAGGTCGTTTCTGTTGAGATATCATGACTTTATATTATAGAGTTAATTAAAGACTACAACTAACTTTTATATATGTTTTAAATA